TTTATTTATTTATTTATTTATTTATTTATTTATTTATTTGTCATACAATGAGTCGATGTGTATTGCTTCAAAATGGTTATGGGTCCACTGCATTGTTATGATGACAAATTTTGTGCCTGTTTTTTCTTCTAATTCCTCATTTTAATATCAATTCATGCTTAAAATATGCATTATTAGGAAATATGTGCTCAAGAAATTTCATTGGCTCTAGAATTGTGTACTACCACTATGGTTTGCAATGCTTTGTGTACACGTCTCGACGAGAAGTCAGCTTTGGGAGAAGATTTTATAGGAGTTAAGGAAACAGGGCACCTAGTAGCTGAACTTCTTTAGATGAGCTAAGGATTGTGAGGAGTTCACTTTAGATAGTGACAATGTCTGGAGAGTGGCTTAAAAAAAAATCTCCAAGAGGTTTGATCATTTGGACATTAAGACTACTATTATAATAATTTTATTTGTTCTTATTTTAATTATAAATTTACTATAATTCATTAGGATCAAGTGATGTCTGACTTATAATATAATATTTTGGACTACTGACTTTTGTAATATTTTGAATTTTATTTTTGATGTTTTGTTTGAACTATTTTTGAAATTGTGTACTAATAACTATATTTTGTAAAGGTAAAATAACACTATTAATCATATGTAAATCATACTAAAGCAATTTTTTATTAACAGTCTGGCATTCATACTAAATAACAATAAAATTAACCAAAAGGTTGCAAAATGAAATATCCACATGAAAATACTGGGAGTTGTCTTCCAACATTCACATATCGATATCATTTTTGCACAACAGCCAGATCTTTAGATATCTGGCTTTAGATTGCATTTATAAACTGCATTTAAAAAAGTTACAACATAACTGTTTCACAATCGAACTATCCAAATAGATTGCAACCGTTTCTCCTAGCAGCAGCTTCATAACAGTTTTTCCAGATGGCATATTCACAGTTGTTTCTTCAAAAAGCTACAGTTGTCTCAAACAGACCCTTATATCCCTTAATTTGGCCATTTACAATTGTATTATCATATTCATGTGATGAAAACAATGGCAAACTCCTTCCACAAGATCCGCTGAAGAACTGTGCAACCTTTCAATTTCATGTATTGCTTTAATAACCATTACTTCATACAATTTCCCTTATAATTTAGCCTACTAAATTTTAGTAACAAAATGAAAATGTAATTATTGTCCTGGCATCCAAATTTCTTACACCTTATACCAGCAATTCAATCTACAATGAAAAAATGTAAATGAAATGGCACACTAGACCCATCGAAACCAGAAAAATTAATGAAATAAAACAAAAATCCAACCATGATCAAATTTATATCAGATCCGAGTTTTAAAACTTCGCCAAACAAATAAAAATCTATCAAAGTATATGCCTATGAGGGTTTAAAAATGGTTCAGGCTTCGTCTAAAACAAAGACAACATTCACAAGCTTCTTTTCAGAAATCACGTTCGTCGAGCCCAATTCGACGAGCTGCAATCTAAAACAACAAAAATTTATCCTTATTGTAAAAGAATTTTGAAAGACATTCGATCTCCTCCTACTGGTATTTCACCAAACAAAATCAAGCCTTAACTTCAGTGCTACCGGCCATCCACTTGATGATTCACACTAGTCCTTTAAGCTTTTCTACATAGACATCAAGCCAATGCTGAAAAGACAACCTTCGTCGAGCTACACGTGCATTTACTTCAGGTCAACTCATCAATGCGGTTTGACTTAAATACACTGACCGTTTCCAAGTGAAGGACAAGTCAACTGACAATGCCCATCACTACCCCAAGTTCTCCTTTCTGCCTCATAAACATGGAGATCTAACGGTCAATATTTTCTCATGCTTATGCACACTTTTTGACGCCAACTTTATGACGGCCAATCTTCCAACATACTCCACAGGCCAGCATATATTCTTTGTTCTACACACATTCTCACCACATATTTCTTTCTGTGATAAGAACACAGGGAAACAGAGAAAACTAGTTGTTTGCTTCAACTTAACATGAACAGCAACTCCGGCACGGCGAGGCCTGACCGGAAGACAGTGGAAAGAAATAGAAGGAAGGAGATGAAGTTACTCTACGCAAGCCTGAGCTCTCTCCTGCCCGGCTCAAAGGTACAAATAACTTCCACGGTATAGAATTGCAATTATTCCCTTTAGAAATATTAGTTTTGTCTCTTCTGAAATATCACTTTATATTTCGTTGTCTTGATGACTCCCACGTTAGGCCTTCAAAAAAGGAAAAAAAAATGTTACAACAAGTGTCTTTATACAGTTCTGCATCAGGATTTCAATTACAATACATCACGAGTCTCGCTGAATACAAAAGACTAAATAGTTTAATGCATGACGGAGTCGGACAGTACACGTGACGCATTGTGATTGGAGTCCTGATATAGTCTTACATCAAGATGTTATATTTTTTTCTCAAAAAAGAAAAGGATTTCACCCTTGCCCCTTAGAACTAAATTGGTTAATGCTTTGTACGTAGGTAGGGGTGCAACTTCCATTGCCTCGGTTGCTTGATGAGTCTGTGGGCTACATAAAGGACATGCAGAAGAAGCTAGAGCAGCTGAAGCTAGAGCACAAAAGTCGAGAGGCTGTTGCAGCGAGATCAGAGAGGAGCACGATGGCGCCGCATTTGCAGTTTAGGATAGCAAATGGCAGACTAAGTGCGACAATCATAACTGATGCGAGGGACTGGTCTGTTTTTCATAAGGTGGTTGAGGTGATTCAAGATGAAGAATGTGATATACTGAGCGCTGATTTAACAGTCTCAGCCATTGGTAGCAATGCTTTTTATGTCCTTCACTCTTTGGTATGCACAGATCTTGTGTTTATATATACATACATATATATATATATATGCTAATATGTTGGAAGGATGAGAGGTTTAAATTATTATTTGTGTGCAGGTAGGGGAAGACAATAGTTCTAAGATGACTGGGATTTTGGAGAAGTTGAGGAAAGTAATTGGATGAGTTGTTTGAGGTATTTCTGCTATTGTTGCTACACTTATGTTGGAATGTGTTTAGTTTGGATGGGCTGTCATGTGACACACGGCGTCGTGACAACATTTAGACTTTCGTCTGGATGTGCAGCCAGTTGCACTTAATATTTTTCGATGTTTTAGACCTAGAGATCAAGGGTATTGTTTTGTCTAAGTTTTTTTGAGCATATCCCGGTTATTATGTGCGCATACATCATCCGGACGTAATGTCACATCATGTAGTGCTCTTCATTCTGGTTCATTTTATAATTGAGTTTGACCTATGTTATGTCCTTTTTGGTCGTGTTAGGCCACACTGAGTTTGTACCTTAGTTGATTCATTTGAATTGTATTTTTTTTAAAAGGAGAAAGCACTTTTAAATATATTTTTTTTTATGTTAACAATTTCTTTTGAAAAATATTATATAAGAGACAGTATTAATCACTATGTTATCGGGCATAATTATCACAAATGTTTTATAATAATGATTAAGTATCTATGAAAAATAAAAAAAATTAATTAAAAAAAGCTCAGAATCAAATTGCAAAGCATGTATATACCTTAAATTTAAAAATTTATAGAGGAAAACCTCTTGCTAGGCCTCTAAAGAGGAGAATATATTCCATCATGATACCGCATGTCTGGACGGCTAACCACCAGCGGCCACGTAGTCATATATGTCATCGGCGGGCGACGAGGCCTCCGATAGTTGGCCGTCCAGACGTGCAGACGTTCAGACGGAATATTTTTTTCTCTAATGAGAGGTCTATTAGAACTTTTCAGTATCTAATTATTACTCCTCGTTACATGCCTAAAAATAAAAAATTTCTAGTAAGTGTAAATCACAAATTATGTGATTAAACGTAGTAGCGTGTGGAAAGGTTTATGGCGATAGAGTAATAATTTTGGGGAGTTTACATGCAAAGATTTTTGGTCGTGTTTGTACCTCAGTTGATTCATTTGAATTGTATTTTTTTTAAGGAGAAAGCACTATTAAATATATTTTTTATATTAACAATTTCTTTTGAAAAATATTATATAAGAAATAGTATTAATCACTATGTTACCGGACATAATTATTACAAATGTTTTATATCAATGATTAAGTATCTATAAAAAACAAATAAAAAAATTAATTAAAAAAAGCTCAGAATCAAAATGCAAAGCATGTATATACCTTAAATTTAAAAATTTATAGAGGAGAACCTCTTGCTAGGCCTCTAAAGAGGAGAAAATATTTCGTAATGATACCGCACGTCTGGACGGCTAACCACTAGTGGCCACGTCGTCCTATATGTCATTGGCGGGGGGGGGGGGGCGCCGCGGCCTCCGATAGTTGGCCGTTCGGACGTGCAGAAATACAGACGAAATATTTTTTTCTCTAATGAGAGGTTTATTAGAACTTTTCAGTATCTAATTATTACTCCTCGTTACATCCCTACAAATAAAAAATGTCTAGTAACTGTAAATCACAAATTATGTGATTAAACGTTGTAGCGTGTGGAAAGGTTTATGGTGATAGAGTAATAATTTTGGGGAGTTTACATGCAAAGCACCCAATTCTTATGCATTTACTTATCCCACACCTAAACTTTGATTTTTACAAGTTAAGCACCCTAATTATAGGAAAAAGTGCAATCCACATTTTAGTACATCTTTTCAAACATAGGAAAATGTGTTTAATTTGTAAAAATCAAAGTTTGGGTGTGAGATAAGAAAATGCACAAGAATTGGGTGCTAATTATGTAAATTTCCTAATAATTTAACTTCTTAGGGCTTAATAAAAATCCATCACACACACATATAAAAAAAAAGTAAGCAAGTGGAGATAGCTAGATTTTCATGTGGAAAATTCTAGGAAGGGAAAAATCACGGAGTTTGACCCAGTTAAATAATCCACTATGTACTTTTGTGTGCATAAGTTTACTCGTCTCTAGAATTAAGGAAGATTGATTTACAAAGTTGATAGAATATGATAGCTCAATATTAAGAATTATAACGGGAAACTAAAGTCGTAGCCAATGGCTATGAAGGCAATAGACCACCATGAATGTTATAGATACTGATTGTAGCTCCAGCTTATCATATAGGTTGTAATTAAATGTTGTGGCAGTAGTTAGCTATATAGGCCATAAATGGGTTATTTGGGAATGTAAAATGGACATAGAGGTTGTGGTATGGAGTTGCAAGAGCCATGAGCCATGTAGGTCACAGTTGATCATGTAGAACATAATGATAAATTGCGATGAGTTGCAAGAGCCATGAGCCATGTAGGTCACGGTTGATCATGTAGAACATAATGATAAATTGCGATGACGTGTAAGCCGCATAAGCTGGAGTTTGGAGTCGAATGGGCTGAAGCCCATGTAGGTCGTAGTTGGTCACATATGTTGTATATGGTAATGAAGGCCATAATCGTGAGTTGCGACAATGTTTGTAAGCTACAAAAGCTGGAGACATGAGCTACACGAGCTGTAAGCCGTGTAGGTTGAGTCGGTCACATAGTTCGCAGCGGCAAGTTATGATGCTCGTAGGTTGCAAAAGTCGAAGTTAGGAGCTGTGGGTCACATTTGACTTGCTTTACTTTCTTGTTTTATTGCATGTGCTTGCCATTTACGCCCTTTTTCTTGTGGATTTTCTAGGAATCATGCAAATCAGTTAGGCTCTCTATAACCTAAAAAATTATCAATTTTCTACAAAAATCCTAAATAAAAATTTAAGACTAATTAAGATTTAAGATTAAAATATTCATGATTTTTTTAAATCTACATTTTACTTTCTTGCATGGCCCTTGAGTTGGATTTTAAATGTATTGCATAGCATGGTCATATCCTAAGTCATATTAATAGGGCCTCCATGCTTAGAAATAAACAACTACATCATATTTCATGTCTCATTGAAGAGTCCCCATGCTTCTCCAACTCGACTAACTTAGCATAAGTATCATACTTAGGTGGTCTTTTAGCACGCTTAGAGGCTTTTTCGACCCAAACAGTGAATAAGTATTTTATTAAGAATGTTTTCAGCTTTGTAGCTGGACCTCCCTTTTCTCTTCCTTTTGGTGGAATCTCCATCATTTATTTGATGGGTGTCAGTCCCACCTTTGTGAGTTTTAACTTTATAGGTCATAGGATTTAGAATTTTCTTTTCTTTACCTTAGAGCTATCGAGATTCCCTTGGATGACAATATTTAAGGATTGCTGACAAGGGAATCTCCGATTGTGCTGGGTCGACTACCTTCACGACTAGGTAGAATTTGGGTCATAATAGCTTAAATTGATGAATCCATGGTATCCTGACTTAGCTATCTCTACCCGATTAGGATTATACTATCCATCATTTATTATCCACTTTCAACCCAGTTATTCCTTTGACACTTCATCGATATCGTCTTGTAGGCCCTGATTGCATATAGGTTCCCCCCATTTGGGATACAGTGATTCACACTCTACCCTTATGGTTTGGTTAGGCTTTGGAAGCATAGTGTGGACCTTATGAGTCAACCTATTTATTTTATAGGCATTGGCTACCAATAAGCCACTATCCATTTGGGAAATGAGAGACTCACTCTCTACCCTGTGACTTAATGAAAGCTTTGAAAGTGATACCACTTCTAGGAGCAACCACACACTGGGGGCTCACCCAAGTTCACGTGTCGTATCAGTAATATCAGATTTTAGAGTCTGGAATGTCGATCCTACAGGGAGCAAGGTAATTCCAAAATAGAAAAAGTTCTAACCTACTGATTTTATTCATAACCTTGAATTTAGTTAGTGTTAGTGTCCTACAAAGTAATCCTAAATTATCAAAAGCAATAGTAAAGTGTAAATTTTACAAAATTCCTAATTAATGTAGTTTAAATTGTTGAATATCATGTTCTAAAAATACTCTCCCTTGTAATGATGTAAATGGAGTATAGAAAATGTAAAGTGCAAATTATAAGATAGACCAGTGACAAATAAAAGCAACACTCTCCTTTACTCTCTTCTGAGTGCATAAAGAAGATTGGTTAGAATTACTTTAATTCCTTAAATCTCATAATTAAACCATCAAAGAATATTTTTTTAACATTTGTATCTCCCTACAAGGCATAACAAGCTATACCTCATAGTTCAATATGACTAACCTAGTTGATTCTATCATAGCTCTCCTTAATCATTATGGTTCATAACACATTTTAACATTTCACTTTGCAGAATAAAAATTAAATGAATATCTAAAGGTTAATGACAACATTAGATAATTAAAAGTAATTTAAAAGAAGTTTCCAGTCCTATACATCCTACTTAATCATCACAAGGTAAGGAAATTTACTTAAGAAGCATGAGAAAGACACCACACAGATTCATTGAAACAAGAGAAATCCACTATCAAAATGTTTACAAATGAAATACAACAGAAATACAACAATAAAGACAACAAACAAGACTTGTCTTCCTCTCCTTTTTAATGGCTAGAAGATTCTTAACCAAGACTCCTCATGAACCTGGATTGCTGCTCCTGAAAGCTCTCCCTATCCTCTGCACTAGAAGAAAAAAAAATATTCTATAACAAACTAACCCTCAAAATGACCAAATCTCATCAATCCCTCCACATTCATCCCTAAGGACATCAATCAGCATTCCTCCAGCATCAATCCTTTCAAGGCAACAATACCTGGCAGTTTATAGGCTCTTCTACCTAACATCCATGACTCTCACCTTCAACACATGAATTCCCCACGACCTGCCACTTGTACTGCAAAAACTGCTCAAAACATTTGTCGGCACATAGACACCCATGGGCTGGTTCCAGGCTCTCTGTCTGCTTAGAATTGGCACCTAGGCACCCAAGAGTCCAGTGCCTAGGCGCCAATATCGCGGCGTCTAAGCACCAACCTCTTGGGTTGTCCAAGTGAGCGAATGTCGTCTAGGCTCCTTGGGATCCGATCAAGGTGTCTAGGTGTCTAGGTGTCTGGGGCCCGAAACCTAGGTGTCAGTCCTCAATATGCTCATTTGCTTCAAGTCCCCTCCGCATTTCCTCACTTTCATTGTATGTTGCACCTGCAAGAAAAACATAATATTACATTTCTTTAATATGCAATCTCATTCATAACAATGTGTAAATCACAAAAAAATATTAGTATACTTATCTACAATTAGTAAACATTGAGTTATTCCTGTGAGATAATCATCCTTTGTGACACTCTCTAACTAGTTGTTATTCAAGTGTAAGCAGGACTCCTTTAATCGATAATATTCTTGGGAATCTCCCAAGAGGTAATTAACCAAAAGGATGGGTCCCTTTGAAAGTTGCTCTTGACCCCATAATAAACACACAAACTTGAATATTTGGTCGTGGGTTTCTTTCGTAGGGTCTTCTCCAGGGATATGTTCCAAGGCATTTTTTATCCGATCTTGTTTGGGCGTATGCCCTTGGGCTATCATGCGAAGTTTATCTTATGAAAGTTCTCCACATTCTTTCTCTTGTTTGCTACCTTCTTTTTTACACCTTGTTTTTATGATTCGTCTCTTTTTCATATCATTCATATGATCTAGAAGAAATATTTACTCAAAAAAGAGAATTATAAGATGATAAACAAGTTGACGATTTCCGACAAAAAAATATAAAAAAAGAACGAAAACACCCCCACTAAGTTAGTTTGATATCCTCCTAAAAGGGAACAATAGTTGACATAACTAATTCTTTTTAAATGTTTTAGTGACTAAATTTGATCAAGATTATAAAATAAGCATGTCGATCAATTCTTCGATGAGGGTTGTATTGAATGTGAATGTCAACTAGAGGGGGTTTTCTAATAAAAATTAAAATTTTAATTCATAAAATATGTTAAAATGCATAAATAAATTTATCATTTAAAAGTGAAGAGCAAAAATTTATCCACCCTTAACAACTGTTTGTCGAAATGGATAAATTTAGATAAATTCGAGAGTGACCTACTCTCACATAGAGTTAATGTAATGCGAAGTATATTATTAAATTCAAACTCAAAATAACTCTGTGCCACTAAGGATGTGGCCTATGTCTTATGTCTTCATGGTTTTTTACCTAAAAGCACCATAAAGAACAGGTTATGGCTATAGCTCTCTAATCGACTGATTTGCTACCAAATAGTACCATTTTGTTACGATTATGGTTGTGCCTGTATATTTCCCAAGTATTATGTCTATTAAGTTTGGAATCATATAGTATATTTTATAGAGCACAAAGCCCTTTGTAAGCTATGGTTGACTTAAATTAGTACCTTTAGAAAAGCGTCCACCTCAAGTCTATAAGGTTCCATTGGATGAAGCAACTCATAATTATTGGTAAGGATCACTTTACTATGTTGGGTCAACTACCTCCTTTGACTAAGTAGACTGGAGATCACGACAACGAGGGAAGATGAAACCATAGGATTTTGATCAGATGCATCATCACTTCACTCATCATTAGCTCTAAGCTTACCGTGATGATTTTATAAATTTAAATCTAAAGTTTTTTTACTATTCATTCAGTCTGAATGCTTAATGCCAAATTATCAGCCTTAATCAAAAGTGCACTCTCGCTATTAGGAGGGGTAATTAATCATAGAGACTTACACCTACAGAAAACCTCTAACCCCATATCATGAAGTCCATGCAAAATGAGGGAAAAATCTATGGGTGGTTTCTTACCTATATCTCATTTGCCTTCTAAAAAATTTACTTGGAACCTCCGGTAAAACTCCCTTACTCTCATTTCGAGGAAGGTTGGGATAATTTGAATTTTTGAAGCCTACAACAACATATTGAACTTTTCTTTATTGTTGAAAATTTTAATTATGATAGATAGGTTTGTGTAATTAGTATTACCATTCTACAAGAGTTATTAAATTGACCTTAGTAGTTTATAGAATCTTTTCTCTAGCTTTTGAAAAGTGAAGACATGCAACAACAAATATCATTTCCTTGTATCATCCTATTTGATCCTCATTCAATTTGTGATGATCTTGTAGAATCATCATAGTAAGAGGTGATAAGTACCTCATACTTCCCATTCAAAGTCAATATCTAATAATTGGGTTACAAATCAACGATAATTTTACGAATGTTAACTAAGCTTAATTTGTGTTTAGAATAAGAACATTCAAATTTCCTTTAGAAGATCAATAGAAAATTAATAAGCCATGTATAAAAAGTATGCATCTTAACTTTTAAACTCATTAGCTAATCCTTTTCACTCAATTAGCAATCCATTATACGTCCATAAACATCAATTTCAAATGTCCATATATTATATAAGGAAAAAAAAATTCATCCTAACTATAAATTATTGACTTGATTTTACTATATTTACTTTATTTGATTGATGACCAAATTCTACATTATGCATGCACATCACATACAAAACTCAGTATTCCATTACATAACAAAGTCATTTTAACTCTAAATATAAAATTAAAATGAACTTTTAATTAAATTAACTGACTTTATTGATTAGGTTAGAAATCAAGCTCATAAATGATTCAAATTTCTTCATCACTTCAATATCTTAACAAAAACTCAAATCAGTAATTTATTTAAGTTCACCATTAAAAGAACTAAACCTATAACACAAAATCTCTCCATTTCATACAATATAACATAATTCTAACTTGGAAATAAAACATATTTCTTCCTCTTCCAATTTTTTGGTCAGAAAATCATACCCTAAATTTCAAACTCGATTCTAAAGTTTAAATCAAGAAAAAAAAAACACAGAGAATTTAATAATGAAATCAAAACTGAAACTTTGAGAAACTAGAAAAAAAGTTTTTGGTCAGAAAATCATACCCTAAATTTCAAACTCGATTCTAAAGTTTAAATCAAGAAAAAAAAAACACAGAGAATTTAATAATGCAATCAAAACTGAAACTTTGAGAAACTAGAAAAAAAGTTTTACCTTTAGATCTATACAAATTAAAATAAAAAAGCCATTTTTAGAGGCTGGAAGGCGTGCAGCCTAAGATGCAATATACTGAGTTTTACCTTTAGATCTATTACAAACTAAAAAAAAGCCATTTTTAGAGGCTGGAAGGCGTGCAGCCTAAGATGCAATATACTGAAATTCTGAAGTCCCTCAATTTAGGTTCTATTTCTTTTTTCTTTCTTCCTTCTGATCTGCACCTATTAACTAATTTATAATTACATCTGGTTTCATGCCCATGCTCTGTTTCCCTTCCATCAATTTATTCAGTAAACTATGTTACAGTTGATGTGATTACAGAGTGGTTAAGAACCTCTGTTCATTTATACTCCCATGCACATATAAAGTTAGTAGTTTTAGATTGCGGCGCAAGTAAAATTATATATTAATGAAGCTTGATGAGAGCAGCGCTAGCAATGGCAGAGAAGAAAGCACGATAGCACACAGCTCTTAGATCTCGAGGAGGAACTCTGTCAGCACTCCCTGCCACCGATTCAGCAAGCTTTGGATCTCTCAACGTTGAAACTCGCCATTAATGTCGGAGCTTAAAAAGACGAGTACTGGAACTAAATTATAAGAATTAATATCTCTAATCGTATTCCCGACGCCCCCAAGTAAAGCGATTCTCGGCGAAGAAGAAGATCTCTACGGCGTGCTTTTTCACCTGATCTCAAGCAATCTGGCGGTCCTCACACCACTTAGTGGCCCTGATCCGTTTGTTCCTCTGGAAGTAAGCTTTATATTAATGGTATAAAAGTGTTTCTGACTCAAGTTATGGATTAAAAAATAAACTTAAAAACTATTGATGGAGGAAGATATTAAACATCAAAACGGCTTGTAGTAATTTCAATAGAAACTTCAAGTTAAATATACTCTTACTTGAACAATTCTACAATAGGTGATCACCTAGAAGTAACACTAACAGGATAAAACTGTAAGACCAATAGACTAAGGGTCCGTTTGGGGCAGCTTATAAGTAATGTTTGATTCGCGCGTTTCACCAGCTTATCCGAAACTGTGTTTGGGTTTTTACACTAAACGCGGGCCGCGGGTCGACCCCTGCGGTCGGCCTGCGGGCCTCGTTTCAAGATAAGCAGCTTATCCTGAAACGCACAAGCTGCCTCAAACAGACCCTAAAGCAACAACGTCTTGTAGTAATTTTAATATAAACTTCAAAGTTAAATGTGCTCTTACTGGAACAATTCTACAATGGGTGATCACCTGAGAAGTAACACTAACAAGATAAAATTGTAAGACCAATAAACTAAAGCAACAATATACTGATGAGTGAGACTTCAGGCCTTCACATTTACTTATTTCATCTCGCAACAAAAAAAAAGAAAATACAACAATAAAAACCCCATACCCCATTTAAGCCGCAACAAAAAAAAAAAAAAAAATACAACAATAAAAACCCCATACCCCATTTAAGGCCATGGAACAACAAAACAAAACTTAAGTTGTATGAAATAACATTAAAAGCAACATGTGCAACATCACACATGAAAACCTTGCAAAGAACTTAACCAAAGTCTCCCTTTTAACATTATTTTAACGAACCCACCTCCACTCTTTAAAGTACCCTTCACCTCCCCTCCCAAGTCCCCCAAACCCACCACTCCAACCTCACAACAAACACCCCAAACATGTCCTTCCCTTTCCTCCAACTATCCATCACCATCCTATCCCTCCTCAGCATCATCTCCCCAATGCAAGCAGACTACGCCGACCTCGTTAACAAACACTTTATCAACCTCAGCCCCCGCGCCGGAAGCCGGCTTCTCGCCCACAAGTCCGAACAGCTGCACCACCATTGCTTCTCGGCGGAAAACACCACTTGCCCTGCTGAAACACCGCGCAGAAAGCAGAACGAACAGCTAACCTGCTGCAGGAACCGCTGCCGCGATATCCTCTCAGACCGCAACAACTGCGGCTGCTGCGGCCACCCTGCGGCCACAAATGCGGCTTCGGGGAGCTGTGCTGCAACGGCATGTGCGCGGCCGTGGCTTACGATGTGCGCAACTGTGGCGCGTGTGGCAGGGGTTGCAAGCATAAGCTGCGGGGCATAAGCTGCGGTGCGAGTACGGCACGTGTGGCTACGCTTAATATGAAGGTGTCAAGACATGTAGGTATCTTGATTGGTCATTGTATCCTTCTATTTTTCCTATTTTTATAGTAATGAAATGAGGGGAGCACAGAGTTTGAATAATGTTCCTGTAAAAGAGTTCATTATAAAGATTTTTTTTTAATACTTATATGAATATCTATATAAGAGGATGGCATGATGCATATTGTTCTTAATTTTTCTCGTGTATTATTGAAAATGAAATGTATCTAATGGAAAATCACAGGTGGAAATCCTTGCTCGAATTTTCGCTAAGATAGATTTGATTTTTGATTGTTGCTGAGATTATTATATATTTTATAAGTATGTGCATTCAACGGTAGATGATGAAAAGATTACGTCACATCTAAGTAAATTGTGATGATATGATCAGTTCATATACATATAAAATATGTAACATTTTCTCTATTGTTTGAGGGTATGATTGAGTTTAAAGTATGGAGGAATATGGTAAACTTTTTCTTTAGAGTATGAGCTAGTTTGTTGCCTTTAACTCAATGATGGTATAATAAATGTAATGGGAAATTCATCGCTAATGCATTTCTTAGATTTCAGTCTGTGTTCTTGTTGCTAAAATTTATTTAATTTTGTATTTTTAGGAAATTTAAGTTTACATTTTTTAAATTTTTAAAAAATAGATATATTTAGATATAAACCACACAATTCTTATGTATTTATACATATATCTAATACTTAAAATATAATATTTACACTTTTTTTTAATAGAAAGGCTAGCTTAAGGATATGATACGAGCCCCCAGCCACCTCATGTGTCTAACCACTCGATCTCGTATTGCAAGGCAAATGCACTCAGGCAGGATCGAAACCGTGGCCCCAGGAGACTTACACTAAGCTGCACTACTAGAGAGTCACGGCGAAACACATTTACACTTATAACACTTTGTTCTCTTAAATTAATGCATAAAAGATGTGTTTCAATTTTAAAAGTATGATAGCGGTGGTATATTTGATTTGATGTTATGAATGTTTAGAAGTTTGATATGTAAATAAAAAAAGAATTATGTGGTATGTATATAAATGCTCTTAAAAAATAACAACGTCAATCAAGTATTATTGATGTCGGATCAAGTAATATAGATATTGATCCAGACATCATTCTCATGACGTTTTATGCAAACTTACAACAAGAAAGCCAATTATAATTGCAAAACACACTGTTTTGTTAAAAAATAATCGACGTTGCATGCGTGAATTTTTAGCGGTTGAGTGATTATTTAACGTCTTAGTGTTGCACGAATATCCAATACATAATAGATAAGAGAAAAATATCAAGAGCAGACACCAAGATTTTTTAAATGGGAAAACCCTGAAGAAAAGAAAAAAAAATCGCAGGGTTTAACCCAGTCAAAGTGATCTACTATGTATTTGTAAGTACGTAAGTGTGTCATTCTCTCTAAACATAAAGAGCAAAGTTACAAACCTACACCAAAACATACACTTGATTTTATACATCACAAAGAAAATATATGTGTTAGACATAACAATTGTATTTGGATTATAACAGTTGAAAGCAGGGGCCGCCAAAGGCCAATGGTAAGTAGTAGCAGCGATGATGACCAACAGGGTTCGTTGGTGACCCACAAGCGGTTGTTAGAGGCTATCTACATCCTCTTCTTTCTCTTCAATCGAGCCATCTGATGTCAATGTTATTGTTCATAGTTTTGCAAATAGCAATGTTTCAAGTGTTATGTATTTAATTATGTTTCACTCATTTCGTTGGAGGATAAGTTTAAAGCATGGTTAATACCCCCATTTCATACATGCACTAATTCCCATGATGTCCATAGCAACATTGGGGACATTGAGAGAGAAGCTTAATGTTTCTAAAATGTAAAATCATCGGTTTAATGTGTCGTGTCGCAACATTCAATGCAAACTTCTCGTGTTAGATATGTAAATGCATAAGAATTGTGATGTATGTATGTAATTTTTTTTCTATGAGCATTTACATACATTACGCACAATTCTTACGTATTTGCATATCTGACACCCAAACATTTACATTTACGTATGTGTCACTGAAATATTTGACATCACATCAAAAATACAACGATCTTTACCTTTTCAAAAGTGGAATACACCATATCATATAAATGTTTATGCCACCAAGATCTTATAAATGTAAATTAACATTTTTTGGATGTTAGATATGTAAATAATTGTGCGCTATGTATGTACATTTCCCTATTATATTTTCATGTGCATGTTGACCTGGTGAACCAAAATAAATGACTCACCTATTTCTCGTCCATCTAATCAGATTTATACTACATGACTGACCTGGAAAATTTCTGTAAACATGGGGCATTTACATTGATAGCACCCAATTCCTATGTATTTATATATCTAACGCCGATGTTTTACATTCATACCACCTAAATCTTTCGTATCATATAAAAAATGCCACTATTTTGACTCCTAAACATTCATAATTACATGTATGTCGTTAAAATCTTTAACATCACATTAGAAATATCATTATTAGTATTTTTTTAAATGTGAAATAAATCATTATATATATATATATATATATTTATATATATATGACACCAAAATACTATAAGATGTATCAAATTTTGGATGTTAGATATCTAAATACACAAGAATTTTGTGCTTGATTCATTTGAAATTTAGTTTGTTTGAAATAAGTTCGCGTTTGAAATTGTTTTTGAAGTCACTGTGCGTGATCGTTTCTTAACGAACAAGCCGAACACGAGGTGTTTGCGAACGACGAGCCAGTTCGACATCGCTAATATTAATATATATATAAATAATATATTATATTAATTATATAGCTTATATTATATAAATATATAATATTTATATTAGTATAATACTAATATAGTATATTAATATATTATTATTATTATTAATTTAAAATTATCATAATATATATATATATATATATATATATATATATATATGTTAATTTAAATTATTTTATATTTAGAACACTAACAATTCGAACACGAACGAATGCAACACTATTTGTGTTTGGTTCGTTTAACTAACCGAACGAAAAAAATTTGTTCATGTTCGTCCCGTTTGCTTATCGAACGAATCAAACATGAACTATTCGCGAATAACAAGCTTTTTTGACAGCCATATTCGCAGCTCAACCACAGTAGTGAAAGACCTCAGATTCTAATTTCATGATTATTTAAGATAGGCAAGTTAGGCTCTAGAAAAAAAATAAAACATACTACCAAGTTCTTATGTATTTACAAATCTAACAACTAGACATTATATTTTACATTTTTACCCCCCAAATCTTTCATATACTATAAAATGTACCACTTGTTTTTTTTAGATTTTTAAACGTGAAATACACCTTTTCATGTATGAATGAGGAGCGATTATTATGTGTGGAGAGCGCACCAGAGCTGTGTGCGTGTGGAGAGCTGCGTGTGCTCTCCGATCGCAGCCGCAGATCAGGCTTCGCCTGTATGAGGCTAGCGCACACAATAATTTTAGGCAAAGTCTGATACAGGCGAAGCCTGATCTGCGGCTGCGAGTGGAGAGACCCCGCAGCTCTGCGTGCCCTCTTCACGAGGTCTTGATCAAAATTTAATCAACACAAATCGGAAGGTCTGCGTTGATAGAGTTATTATTTAATGTCTTAGCGTTACACGAAAATCTAAACGCCTCGATTATTACGTGAAAAAGTCCTTAAAGGCGAAAAACCAACGGGAGTTAGTCTAGTTGAAATAATTTTTTATGTTATTGTAAGTAAATAGCATCACCCTTCTCCTGAATTAGTGAAGATCGAGATACAAAGTTGATCATCATAGATGTACAACAGTAATTCATTGATAATAGTTCTTGCTGATAACGGCGATAACAAGTTGCGAAGGTTATAATTTAGGTGTGATATATGTAAATTCATACGAATTGGGTGCTATGTATGTAATCCTCCTGTGCTTTATTTTAATTTATTTTTATATAGTGAACCGACTTAGAAATATTCTATAAATAACCACAATTTTTTACAAATTCAATATATGACTCAGCTCATGATGTCGTAATGGATGACTGCATTGGAAGCACATTCATTGAATTTGGACGAGAAGTGTGCCATTTTTTAATTTATGTATTCAAATGGTGCTAGAATAAAAAATCATTTTTAATCTTATCACATCAATGGATGCCGACAACAACATATTAGAATTAAATTGGATGGTTAAAAATAAATATTCTATTTAATTGTTTGGATAATGGATATAATTTGGATATTTAAATATTATATATTTTTTAATCTTATCACATCAATGGATGCCAACAACAACATATTAGAATTAAATATTCTATTTAATTGTTTCGATAATGGATATAATTTGGATATTTAAATATTATATTACTTTCCTCTCTTCCAAGTATTCGTTGAAGATGAGAGTACATCGAACCCATACGGAGTCTTGCCATGAGCAAACTGTATCCATCGGGCAAATATGGTTTTTCTGGAGCATCAGAAAGAAAGCACGACGTCATTATGAACATAAAGGTCCAAAGAACGGAACCCCAGAAGAAGACTAACCCAACTTAAAACGAGATAGTTATAGCTTCTTTATGGCCTAACATTCATGCCAAAACATTATCGACATTTTGTTCTTGATTGTAATCCCTAATGAAGAATATAGTCTCATGAGCAAAGGGGCTTGTCATGATGAACCCTGCGATGTATTGATGATAAGTATATAACGCAGCTTGAGTGGTAAAGTCTAGTGCTATGAATGGATAAGCAGACCTTGAATCCTTAAACTTTAGTTAAGTTGATTGAGAACAAATTATTGATGCTTAAGTTGAGTTCATACAGGTTTGAAAATGGCTTAACCAGTCTTTTCAAACTTAGACTTTGACTCTATATTCTTTGAGTCTGTTTGGGGCAGCTTATAAGTGCGGGCGGCGTTTTCAAATAGCCGTCGTATCGTTTGGTTCGCGCGTTTCGTCAGCTTATCAGAAACAGCTTTTAGGTTTTTACACTAAACACAGACCGCGGGTCGACCCCCGCGGCCGGCCCGCAGACCGCGTTTCAGGATAAGCAGCTTATCCTGAAACACAAAAGCTACCCCGAACAGACTCTTACACTTTCAATCAGACCTAAAATTTGCTTTTAATTTACACTTTTTGTTCGAGATGAACTCAAATATGTTTGGAATTCGTCTTAAATCATTGTTAAATTTAAACTTAAAATATAATAAAATAAACTAATTGATTGAAATGAAAATCAAGTTAAGGTTGGGATTAAACATATGAATCGAAATACAGAAATTTTAAATTCAAATTAAAATCAATAAAGAAAATAACCTCAAAATTTTGATTAATCATATCACGTGATTCTACCTTAATTCCTAACTTTTTGATAAGTTTGTAATTAAATAAAAATAATAAAGAATGATAATAATTAAAAATTTTAAGCTTTGAAAGATTTAAAGTAATTATGAATATAAAAAAAATTAATAATTTTAATCAATTTAAATACATTTTTAAATATAAATTAAAATTATTATAAATAAAATTAATATTTAATTAATTTAAATTATAAAATAACTTAAAGTTAAATAAAATACATATTAAGTCAATCCACATAAACTTAAAAAAAAAATTAAAATAAATTAATTTCTATATATAATTAATTAACTATAAATAGCTCTTTAGCGGAACCCTAAACCCGATTGGATTGCGTCGCTCCGCCGCTTCCTCTTTCTTCGCAAGCGGCTGTGCGCGGCCTCTTTTCTTCCTCCTTCTCCGATCGTTGATCCGTGGAATAGTTTATCCTGTAAGGAATTTTTCTCTATTCCTAATCTAATCGTAAGGAACTTCTTCTTTCCCGTACTATTTTCTTTAATCGTTCTGAGATATGAATGGATTCCTCGATCGCTGGCTGATGGATTTGTGAGATTTGCTTATTCTTGCGTTCATCTTTATCTTTGCAATGGGATCTGGTGTTTTTTTTATCTTGCACTATTTGTGGATCTTGAATATGGTTTTATTTTCAAGAAAAGGGAAGATGAATTGATATACGATTATTTTAGTTAAATGTCGGAATGGCGATCTGGGCAGCCTTCTTACGATAAAAAAATACTTTATAAATTACCAAGAAACATGTTATATCAGAATGTTTTGTGTTACATTTATATCCAAAAGATGTTTCAATTTTCTGCTGGGATTTCCTTACCATTTAGGTATTGATGCTGGAATTTGTAATTCCGAATCCTCTTTGCTTTCAATTTTCTGTCTAATTCCCAAGCAGCATCTCTCTATGTAAACCTTCATATACCATTGCTATCTTATTTGTAATTGGAAGGGTTATACACTAACCTCATTCTTATATTTACTATATGTGATCTCAGATTTGTTTCCTTGAAAAAAGTTTACATATACAACATTCAATACTCATGGGTTTAGATGTACAGTATAGCTGAATGATGAAATATTTATCTGTAGTTCGATTCTTGAATATCTATATGCTCCATACTCAAATTGGAAAACATGTTTATACAGATCCCTTTGGTCAGGATGCTTTCGCAATTATAGCACTTCAACCAATGAGTTTTTTTGGTTTTCTAATAACAAAATGGTTATAAATCTTTTTGTTGGAGAGAAAGAAGTTATGATACATCTTTATTGAGCATAAAGCTCTCATATTTATAGAAGATGAATTATTTTGTTGCTTAATATAAAGAAATTGATACAATATTTTGACGGATGGAGAAATTCCATGGTTTGATGCATTTTTTGTGGAGAATAAATAGCTTGATATTTTCATGGATTAGAGACAGGTGATCAATTCTCGGTTTACTTATTTTGTTGCCTATAGGAAGTATGGAAGATACATTTAAGCGTGAAATTATATAAGAATTCATGATATGCTTTCTTCTCCTTAGGTCGTTATTTGATGAGCTAGAATCATTAGAATTTGAATAAATTCATTAGAGGTGCAAACGAGTTGAGCCGAGCGCGAGCCGCCCTCGTTTTGAGCTTGATTAACTTTTTCAAGCTCTAGCTTAAGTCTATGATTCATGCTAGCTTGCGAGTCAGCTTGTTTAATATAAAAGAGAGAAAATGAAATTAATTTATAATAACTTTATAATAAGTTGATAAATAGAATGAACAGTTAGGAGATAAATAATAAGAAATCACCTAATATACATTAAAAAAATATTATTTTCTTAACATTTTTAATACCTTAAAGATAAATTTACATATTAATGAACAGTAGTTATTCACCGTTGCCAAAGCATATTTTTTTCTAGTTTGATTTTTATACTGACCGCAGATTAATTTTGTTTAGGAAAATTTACATATATGCAACTCAATTTCTATGTATTTACACATCTAATACTTAAAAGTTTAATATTATATTTAATACCTAAAGTTTAATATTTACATGTATGACACTTTTCTATTATAAAACTATGCATGTGAAGGTGTGCTTTACTTTTAAAAGGTTAGTTTCTTGATGCAATGTTAAAGTTTTGTAGTGTGATAAATACAAAGATGAAATTGTGTTATTTATGTAAATGCATAAAAATTGTGTGGGTATGTATGTAAATGCCCCTTTGTTTAATGATCTTTAGAACTATGCCTCTTTTGAGTGCAATTTGGCTTGTACCTTTTGTTGGAATGTTGACATAAAAATCAAATATTTCAGTAAGTTGAAGGGCTCTTTCTGTTATATATTCTAATTTAACTATGGCACTGCATTCATACTGTTTGACGTGATTTCCTATAATTTGGATAGTGTTATAAAAAAATTTATTCGGTGCATTAACATAGATACCATAGAATTTGGATCGGTTTATAAGAAGAACATACGAATTGAGTGGTATGTATGTAAAGCCCCCCATGACTGAATGAAATAGGAGTTCAGTCTTGTCTGAACATTCTTTAATGTTGAAAATCCAAACATATGTATTCGGAGGGGACACATACGGGCTGAGTGGTATTTATGTAAATCTCCCTGTTTTGTTTTTTTTGCTGCCTTCTCTAATAAGTTGTGCATTTTAGTAAGGTGTTGTTTCAAATTTCAAAACTGTTATTTTTGAAACCATTAGGGGAAAAAAATAAAAAATCTTATGCATAATCAACATGATTTTCTCAGGCAAGATGGGACGAAGACCTGCCCGCTGCTATCGCCAAATCAAGAACAAGCCCTACCCCAAATCCCGCTACTGCCGTGGCGTCCCTGACCCCAAAATACGCATCTATGATGTGGGAATGAAGAAGAAAGGCGTCGATGAGTTCCCCTTCTGCGTCCACCTCGTCTCCTGGGAGAAAGAAAACGTCTCCAGCGAAGCTCTCGAAGCCGCCCGCATCGCCTGCAACAAGTACATGACAAAAGCCGCAGGAAAAGATGCCTTCCATCTCCGCGTCCGCGTTCATCCCTTCCACGTCCTGCGCATCAACAAAATGCTCTCGTGCGCCGGGGCAGATCGCCTCCAAACCGGCATGCGAGGTGCATTCGGGAAGCCGCAGGGCACGTGCGCGAGGGTGGCGATCGGCCAGGTTCTGCTTTCCGTGAGGTGCAAGGATAGCAACAGCGCGCACGCGCAGGAGGCACTGAGGCGAGCAAAGTTCAAGTTTCCGGGGAGGCAGAAGATCATTGTGAGCAGGAAGTGGGGGTTCACGAAGTTCAGCAGAACAGATTATATAAAATGGAAGCAGGAGAACAGGATTGTTTCTGATGGAGTTAATGCGAAGTTGTTGGGATGTCATGGAAAGCTTGCGCTGAGGCAGGCAGGGAAGGGCTTTTTGAGACCTCGCATGCGTAGTAGAATAAGGTTGGTTGGTTCCCTGCTTCTGCTTTATTTTCCCTTCTTGCTTGTGGTAAGAATTGGAATATGATGTGTTATTTGATGTTTGGCTGTGGACTTATGGAATACGCTGTTATCTATTTTGGTCTTTTAGACGTTGCACATTTCTTATCTGTTTCATTGTTTTTGTTGTTTCATCTATTTTTTTGAATTTTGTTCGACGAAGATCAATTTTTTTTTTAATTTCTCTTTGAATACATGAGTTAGGAATATCATCAATCGATGTACAAAACATTTGCTTATATCTTTTCTTCATAAAGCTTAATATAAATAAGATGTGAGACTTCAACGCATCCTCAGCCTTTTCGTTTCCTTAATCTTTTCATTAACAGTTTCAGAGTAGGATTCCATAGAGCCATTTTCAGCTGGTTCAGGCATTCATCTGTGCATTCTTCGCTCCATCCCCCGCGTTTACAGTTTGCTGGAATGGCGTCTGCCTCCTTGATCTAGTTTGCGGTTGGAGTTATACATATGTAAATCTTCCTACATTTTGTTGATCAAAATTTAATTCATAGAATTATATAATTATTGAATTTGTTTTAGAATGAAACATATATATGATTAAATTACAAAGTACTATTGATGCGCATCGAAATGTCTGTGCCGGTAGAGTGATTATTTAATGTTTTAGCGTTGCATGAAATCCAGCGCAAAATCATGTAAAGAGAAGTAAACAGGAGGAGAGTTCGATTTTTATGTGGAAAACTTTTAGAAAGGAGAAAAACCCGTTAGGCATAGCCTAGTTGAAATAATTAAATATGTGATTGTAAGTACATAGCTTCACTCTTATACTGGATTAGGGAAGATTTGGTTACAAAGTTGATCATTGTAAATGTATAATTGTAATTCGTCGATAATAGTTGTAATCTATTTGGTTGTAATTCTTGGTGATAACGAAGATATCAGGATGCGAGGGTTATAGTCGAATTCTATTGATGCAATAGTCTTTCGTGAATGTTGCAACCGATGGCTGTAGCACTAGTTTGTTATAGAGGGCGCAATTCAATGTCCTGGTAATAGTTGGGTCATGTGGGTCATGGTTGATTGTTTCAAAAGCATTGGTTGATCATAGAAACCGTAATAGTGAGCTAAAATAATGTGTGTAGGACGCAGAGGTCAGAGTTGGGAGCTACGTGAGCTTTAAGCAGTATAAACCGTAGTTGGTCACATAGGTCGCAACAAAGAGCTGTAATAACGTTTGTAGGACGCAGAGACCGGTGCGGAGAGTTGCATTGACTGTGATAATATTTGTAAGCCGTAAAGTCTTTTTTATAAGCCACCAATGTTTGTAGGCTTGATTTTTTCGGACTAGACTGACATTGGTGTCAATGCGTTCGTTCCGTCGAGCCAGTCAGTTTGACTATACGTTTGTTGAAATCATATTGAATGATTATTATTTGAAATTTGCATGCTTTTTGTTTAAAAAATTATCTTTAGATTTTTGTCATTCCTCTCAAGATTCTTGTCAAATGGTAAAATTTATTGATGCTAATTTGATGATAATATAGAATTTTAATCATAGCGATGATTATGTTTGATTGTGGACATTTATTAAATGTTAATTGAATTTTACGTTCAAATTAGGATGATTGAAAAGACAAATCAAATTATTTAAAAATTGTAAATGGATTAAGAACTTTGATCAATTGAGATGATTTATGTAATATGAAAGGAAAAAAAATAAATGGATTTTTATTACAATTTTTTTAAAATTAAGATATATGGTTCTATTAATCATGCTTTTATAATTCACTTGACATCTTAATTTTTGCATTTCTACCACCTAAATTT